AAACCCCCCCCCCCCCCCCCCGCCAATACGCGACGCCAATATCATCTGATTCCGATGCATCCCAATAACATTCTTTTCAGTTATTTGGTAGTCATATTGTTGGAAATAAAGAATAATACATGCTATTAAAAAGAAGCTTTTTATTCTTTTTGTCAATTATTTATAAATCTCTGTAATTGGCCAGCCTTTTTTTTTTCCTGTACTTAGTATCAATTTGTTTCCTTCTTCTTTTATTTACTTTTTTTTTACTTTTTTTTTTGCTGTTTTTGTTGTGCTTTTGAGCTTAAAATCAGCTTATATATGAAAAATAATGATCACTGTAAACGGGCAAAAGTTTGTTCTGCTACTATTTTGCCGAATCTTTGTTGCTTTGCAGAATCACCACGTTGAATGTGTTTGTTCACCTATATTCTGGAAAATAAATGTACAAAAACGTATTTTTTATTGAGCTTTTTTTTTTTTTTTTATCAGATCAATTTTTATTGGTAAAAAATGTAAGATAAGTTTTCATCTTCTCTGCTAGTTTGTTCTTCTTTCTTTCTTTTTTTTCTTTTTGTCTTACTTAAATTTTATCAGAGCAATCATAGGTAAGGGTTTTTTGTTTAACAAAATTTTTAAAAGTTTATTTTACTTTAACTCATTTTATTTTATTTATTTTTTTTCAGAAATGCTAAGAAAATTATTTTCACTTGATTATTTATTGCTGTTAGGATTGACAACCAAATCGTCGTTTCTGAACGCTTCAAATATCAATCATTTCAATAAGGCATTTGGTCGAAAATTGTAGAGAAAAGAGAAGTTTGCAGTAGCTGATACTTGAGAAGAAATTTAGCTTTTTTTATTGCAACAGATACATGAAAACAAATAGTAAAAAAAGAAACAACGTGTACCTTTTAAAAGTTATATATTTTTTTCAATCCTTTTACTAATTTTCGTTAAACAAAATTTTTTCTTATCTTAGTGTCTAAATCTTTTTTACTTTGAAAATTATATTGGTTCTTACAACAGAATGGAGGTGAAAAATTCAAAAAAAAAAAGTTGTTTCTCTTTTGGATAATACATTTTCTTTTCAAATATTAATAGTGTATCAATCATCCATTCAACTGTGAACAGATTCTATAAACTTTGTGAGTTCAAAAGCAAGGCTAACTGATGGAACAAATAAGAAAAAAAACTTGCTGTTGTACACATATATAGACGGTGATTTACTGAAGTAACAGTCATTGAATGTCATTGAGGTTAAGCTAGACTATAGACCTAAAAATATTAGACCGAAAATTGACATTCATTTGCAGCATTTTCAAAAGAGACATAAGTTGTCTAAAAATCTGTTTTTTTCTAGCCTTCTGCACAATTTTTCAAATTTTAAGTTCAGTCTTTTCCTATTAATCAGCAAAATTAAACAACAAAAAAAAAAAAGAAAAATTTCTGAGATATGAAGTGAAATTAATGTACGAAGTGATATTTGAAAACGGCCCATTTACATATGGTCTTCTTGACGCCTCTATTTGATGTATCATATAATTGCTTTTCTTTCATATTATTCACTCATTTACTTTTGTTAAACACTGAAATTCAAAAACTGCCAGCAGTTTAAATTTGTCTTTTTTTTTACACTAATATGTAAACAGGAACGACAAAGAGAAAAAATTAAAAAAAATGAAGTTCCATTTTTGTCTATAGATAATCTTTGCAGTCAAACAGAAAGAAAATTTTAGATTACAACCAACTTCTATGGAGGGTATTTGTCTTTATATTACTCTTTTTTCACTTCTATTCTGTTTGATTTTGTTATTATTGCTGTTTTTTCGTCTTTAAAACCTAAGAAAAAAAAAACCAATTCTTTCTTTATATATTCATCAATTTAGGGTTCTGCTTTTTTCCTTTGCTTCTAAGATTGGGGCTATGCTATATTTAGTTGTATTTTTCTGCTATTTATCTACAGTGATAGCGGACACTTGCAGTATAGAGGTAATCTTTTATTATCTGATTATTTACACTGATTCACATTATCAAATGCTCACAAAAAGTTATGATCAATTTTTTAGCAGTTGTCAAATATCTAACAATGTCAATAAATGTCAGATAAATTATCTGTAAAAAAAATTTGTTAGCAATACCATTATGACGTTTTGATAACTTCACTAAAAACTTGGTTTTTTAAACTATTCTCAGCAAACAATTAAGTTCCTTGATTAAGCTTGTTATTGTTTACCTTAGTAGATCTTCTTCTTTTTGAACTACAAAACAAATAAACAATAAATAGCCAAGTTTCTGAATTTTAAACAGATTTAAGTCAATAATAAGCAACTATATAGAATAATTTTAAAAAAGAAACTGAAGATGAAGGAAGAAGAGAGAGAACGATGTTAATTTTTTGCTTGTTAGATTCATATATGAACAGTTAAGTGGTAAAAATTTGACAATCCACTTTTTTTTCTCTCCTCTCTCCTCTTCTGCTCCATCAGTTTTAAATTACTTAAGAATTACTAATATCAAAATATTAGTTTTTTAGAAGTGTAATCAATGGAGAAACGACAAAAACAGTATTAACGTACATTTGATATGTCATACACACGACGATCTTGGTTGGCTAAAAACGGTTGACCAGTATTATTGGGGATGTCAGTTGTTGATAGTTTTATTCATCAAATTTTTATTGTCAGACTATAATCATTGAAAAAACTAATCTTTACAATTCAACTTTCGTAAGAAGATAGAATAAAACAACTGTCATTGACTAGGTACTAAAGACATTATGCAAGTTGACTATCAACCTGGTTCTACCGCAAAGAATTTATTGCATTTTAATTATTCTTTAAGTAATGGTATTTCTGTTAACAATTTTCAACTTTTCAGCTCTGAATTTCATATATTCTGTTGGTGTGCAATATATTATAAACACCGTGATCGCTGAACTACAAAGGAATTCAATGCGAAGGTTTTCATGGGCTGAAACCGGATTTTTGTGGCGTTGGATGGATACACACAATGAAGAAGAAAAAAAAATTTTAGCTAATTTAATCCAAAACGGTACAGTGATATAGAATTTGTTTAAAAGTTCAAATACACGAATAGTTAGCACTATTTTTTAACCTTTAGCTTACCTAAGCTTTTCTGTCATTAAAAGTTGACAGGACAAATGGAAATTATTGGCGGCGGATGGGTACAAAATGATGAAGGAGCTGCCCACTACATCGACATTATTGACCAGATGACGCTCGGTCTGCGAAAGTTGAACGACACATTTGGACGATGTGCAGTTCCTAAAATAGCATGGCAAATTGATCCTTTTGGCCATAGCAGAGAAATGGCAAATATTTTTGCCATGGTAAAGCAAATCTTTTTAGACTGTATAATTTTGGTGAGAGTTGTTCTATCTAATCCGATAGAAGCAGTTTTTAAAATTATAGATTGTTATAAGAAAGGTTGATTTCATTTAAATACTTGGAAAATTTGAAGCCAAAAAAGTGTGATATTAGTGCATTTACAGATGAAATATGAAGCTCTATTCTTTTCACGTTATCATTATCTTGAGAAAGAAAAAAGAATGGAAGAACAAAGCTTGGAAATGATTTGGAATGCTTCAGATGATTTAGGTAATTGAAAGAATGCACTGTTTTTATAAAAGTGTTACCATAAAAGCATTAGTAAAATTATTTATTATGCGATTGTTTATACGAGCGACAGAACTGCGTTCAAAATAAGCACAGACGAATTGATGACAACAACAGAAGAAAAATTTATTCTAGGAACAAGCATCTTTACTGGAACGTTTTATGCAGACAGTTATGGTCCACCACCAGGATTCTGCTTTGACACGATGTGTAAAGATGAACCAATAATGGATTATAAAGATATGGACGGCTACAATGTTGATGACAAAGTTGACCTCTTTATCAGCTATGTTAAGAAGCAGGTTTGTCGAATGTCATTTTGTTCACGTTGACTCTAATGTCAACAAAAAGCTTTTTATAATGTGTCAACTTTTTTATTAGGTCAGAATAGGCTTATATTATTTGTTGTTACCATTTTCAGGCTGCCACACAGCAAACAAATCATGTCATGCTTCTGATGGGAAGCGATTTCCAATACAGCAATGCGAATACTTGGTACACAAATCTGGATAAACTTATAGAACATGTTAACGAACTAGTAATTTATTTCTATAATTTAACAGCTACAATGGTTTACAGCTTTCTTACTCTAAATAAGTTTTTTTTAGACGTCAAGTTGGAAAAATTAGAATGCTGAGCTTGTAACACTGCATTTGAGTGAGTGTTTTTGTCACTGTTTGCTAATCGTGGCTTTGCAAGTTACGATTTGCAGACGGAAACTCGCTGATTATAGCAGAAGGCATTACAGGAAAATCAAACAAAAGTATATGTTATGTATTCAACGCCAGCTTGCTATTACGAAGCAGTCAAAGAAGCATCACCAAAGCTTCTGAGGAAGACTGATGACTTTTTCCCTTATGCCTCTAAAGAGCATAGTTATTGGGCCGGTTATTTTACTAGTCGTCCAACCTTGAAAGGGTTCATTCGGCAAAGTACTGCATTCTTGCAGGTTATAAAATTTATTGTCCCCTTCTTCTGTCCTCTCTTTATTACCCCTACCTTTATTCTAATTATATCTGAAGCCACAATTTCTCGCTTTACCGTCGACCTACACTTCTTTTGTTGGATTTCAAAAACCAGCTCGTGAAGGATGGCACGGTATTACATGCTTTCGTTGTAATTATGTTAAAAATTTTGAACTTTCTTTTCTAGTTAGCAAAACAGTTTGATGCGATGGCAGAGTCTTCTGAAACGAGAGACGCTGACTTGGAGGTTTTTAAAAAAGCGTTAGCTTTGCTACAACATCATGATGCTGTAACGTAAGTCAACTGTATCAAGATTCTCTAGTCAAATGCTTTCTAACCACACAAGATTATATGAGCGATTAGCAGTTGCGTAAACCAAAAGAGTGTTGGCTGGAAACTATGACTGAAACAATTTAACTAAGTTCTTGGGAAATCTGGTGGAAGAACGTTGCGTTACTGTATCAAGATTCAATTATTAAAAAGCAAAAGTCTTTATTTTATTTTATTGTATCGTTAATGATGAGCATTTACGCATTTTTAAAGTCTTAGCAGCTTATGCTTTATTCCTTCGTGCATCTACTTAACGTCTGCTATAAAAAATTATAATTACTTATTTTAGAGGCACAGCAAAACAGGCAGTTACCGACAACTATGTTAAAAAGTTGTCACAAGGATGGGATAAAGGACAAGTAATTAAACTGATTTTAAGCTGCTAATGTATCCAAGTTTGCCTCTCAGTTATATGTTACTCACCTTGCAGACTGTACTGAACGGCGCATTAAGCAATCTAGCAACTGCATTTGGCCAAAAATCCCAGGACCAGGAAATGTGCATATTGAGAAACGAATCAATCTGCCACTTCACAAGGTAGATTTTATCTTAAAGCTTTTACAATGACTATTTACTACACCTTACTTAGCCACAACTTGTTCGTTTCATAAACAATTAATGTAATTTTGAAGAACAAGAATAGCTATGGCTAGCGTTTAGGATCAAAACTTTATATGAATCAATCATATCTGTACGAAGCTAGTTTAGCATGAGAACTTCATTCACCGTATACGCTTACAACCCATACTCACAACCACAAAACACAATAGTGTCGATACCGTATTACTATGCTGTTCCTAAAGTTATTGACTTTAAAGGAAATCCAATGAAATTTCAGGTACTTTGTAGTAATTTGCTTAAGAAATTAATTAGCTTTATAAAGTGATCAGAAAAATCAAACAAAAAGAGAGTTTTAAGAGAGTTTCCACTTGTTGTTTTAAGATAATTAAAACATTCTACCCAAAGAATTTAATTGGATTGTTAGCTCCAAACCAAATATTTGTGCCGGTTACTATACCACCACTTGGATTTACAAGTATGATAATTCTTAACAGGTTTGCAGTTCTATTATATATAACCTTTAAAAATTCTCGTAGGGTTCTAACTGATATAGTAACTAAACTCTGGAAACACTGTTCATGATTTAATGATATGATAATAGTAAATTACTATAAATGTTTTTTAACGATGATTCCAGCAAAATAACAGGCTAAAAATTAAACTCTGCAAATAAATTAGCGACTGTTTTACTTCTTGCTTTTCTTTTTGAAAGATTATTTCTATTATAGTTATTTAAAGGTTACGAAGGGTCATCATTTTTTTTTTTATATACCTCTTGTTCTTAGTAATTTCAGTACCGTTCCATATGGCGAAAAAACTACTCAAAGTTGGTTACCACGTAAACCGTCAAGAACTTTTATGAAGACTGCAACATTCACGAGAGTTTCAAATGGCGTAAGTGAAATGACAGTTACCTTTGTTCTGTTCTGTTGACAGTTGTTAGATCAGCTGCAGGATTTTTTCAATAATGATTAAATATGCATAAGACTGCCAATTGAAAAACTGCTCTTTTATCCTCTTCCTTACTCGTAAGACGAAAAAGTTCTTTATTCTTTAAGAGTGCAATAAAAAGGAAAATTTATTTCACAAATTCTACAGAGAAGTAACCGGTAGAATACAGCCTATTATAAAGCCAGGAAAACGCGTTGCACATATATTTAGACTGTTCAGAAGTGCAGGACTAGGTAGAGCTGACACTAATTTTTTTGCACCAACAAACTTTTATACATTTCTGATTGATACGATAGCAGATCTTTTTTAGCTACTAAAAACTGCTTTACCATTTGTACATTGAACGATTCTATGCAGTTACGGTAACAAATCTTTACAACTGCAGTAAAATTATAGAGCAAAAGGTGAAGCAAAACCACAAAAATTCTTCATAAGGTAAAGCAAAACCACATAAATTCTTTATGTTTGCAGTGCAAATTGAAAAATTTTAGAAGCTCCATTTCGATTCCTCTGACTTTAAGTGGTTTCCCGTTTAAACAGTTAAACGTTACCATACAGTTAAAAGTTTTGGAGTGTATTGGAAGTAATAACTTTACTGCAAGTTTATTTCAACATTTCCTCAGTAACTTGCATCTCTTTGAAAATATCGTTTCAAAACATTATTTTACTCATAAAACTTCTGCGAAAGAAAAAACATGTTTTTTTTTTTCTGAAAGTGAAACTTGGTTGACTTTTTAGACTTAAGTGGTATAAGTATTAATTCTGCTGTGAGCCTTTAAAATAATTTCTAAGCTGAACAAATAAATAATTTCTGCTGATCGCAAGAGTTGCGCTATCAAAAAAATTATTGTTTCAGCGTTCAATTTCGAAAATTTTTCATTGTAATAGTAACAGCTTCTCCAAAAGTTGTTAAAGATTTGACTTAATTCTTAATTCTGTTTACTGTGGCCTAACTTGCAACGTATAGTACTTCTATTATTGTAATCAGAAAGTGAGCTTAAGTGAGTTTAAAAAATTTTTCAGACACGGTGCGGTAATACCCTCTAAGTTCACAGTAATAAAACGATAAAAAACTTTTAGTTTTCATTTTTCCATTAGATAAAGTAAAGCAAGTTTTTAGGAATAAAGTTGTCTCTTAAAATAATCAGTGGGATCCAATTTTGCTCGTAAAATAAGGATAAGAAAGAATTTGAAGATTTTATTTATGTTTTTTTTTTTTTTTAAATAACATAAAACCCTCAAGAATTTGAAGCGGTTGAAAAATTTTTTAATCTTTCTTATTATTCCAAATTTCAATCGGCATATTGCTTATTAGGTCTATGCCTTCCTCGCGAAATAAACCACGGACTTCTGCAATTTTTTGGCATTTTTTAGCCTCTTTTCTCTGTAAAACAAATCTGCTATCGCTCTCAAGGTACTGCTGGTAGTTGATCCATTAAAGCATCTTGATGTTCACTGAATGTTTAGTCAACAATTGACAAAATTTTAGTGCCACAATTTTCAAATTTTATACCAGAAACCGTAAAATCTCTTCCTAGAGGAAGTTATCAAAAGAAAAAAAAACCACAATTGACACTAAACATCAGTGTAAAGCACAACCAGAAAAATTTTGAAGGCTCTGGACACTTACATAATGCAACACCCATCTCGTTCTCTTCAACTTCCATGACCTCAAATAATGAATGTTTTTACGAGTATGGAACAGTACCAAATCCGTAACCAGATCAGAAGTACCATTCTGAAAATTGACAATCCGTGCAGAAGCATAGCTTTTGAAATTGGGTCAACATGCTCTAACTTTGTTAACAACACTGTGGAAATGTTAATACTTTTAATTCTGATGTGTAAAATTGTCTCGACTTTCTAATTCAAACGAAATCAATTGCTTTTTTCCTGTTTTTGAAGTTACTTGCCCGAAAGTCTAGTTAGTTTCGTCCCAACCTAATATTTCCTGCCTACTACTCACAGTTTCAGTAATAGGATTTTCAGATCATTGAGTTATCATTCAATGGTAATGGACAGTTGAGTTCATGCCGAAATCTCAGAACTGGTCTAGAGATGTCACTGAAACAACAGTTCTTTTACTATGAAGGTGCAGGATCCTGGACACCTATGAGCTCCCAGCCTTCAGGAGCCTATATCTTCCGGCCAGCAAACCAAGAACCGTCAGCCTTACCATCCGAAGTCTTCCTACAGATAGAAAAGGTAGAATATCAAAATAACGCAAAATAAAGAGTGATAAACACAATATTTTAGGGTTCCCTGGTCACTGAAATAAGGCAGATCTTCTCAACTTGGGTTTCTCAAGTCATTCGACTCTACAAAGACAAAGAATATGTTGAGTTCGAATGGACAGTTGGACCTATACCAAAAGAACAGATGTAAATACGAGTGCATTAATCTTAGGGCAGGAATTTCAGATGATAATTGTGAAGGAAGGAGAAGTCAGCCTTGTTTATTTTCAGTAGACCAGTTTCAAAGGAGGTGATTACCCGATATACCACCGATATTAGATCAGGTGGAACATTCTACACTGATTCGAATGGCAGACAGATGATCAAAAGAAAGTAAGATTTTTAGTTTTCAGTTAACGAAAAGAAATTCTATCAACACAGTTATATTGATTTACAAATGACTTAAGTCTTGAAAGCAAAAAAAAAGTTAACCCAACAATCCATGAACTTGCACCTATAAATTGCAGTAACAGCAACTAAAAAGTTTATCGGATACGTTTTTGTTAGGAATACTGAATAAAAAAACTCGCAGTATACTTTGATGAGATATGAGTGGACTTTCGCTGATAGTACATTTTTCCGCCCCCGTTCCTTCTTTGTTACTATAGACAGGATATTCTCGAAGTTGCACATCCAGAGACGCTCTTGATTTTTGTCTAAAACTACTTTTTTATTCTGTAGTTCTGTCGTTAAAATGCCACATTTATAGTTACATTAAACGACGATGTAAATTCATCCTTCAAATTTCAGTAGTCACTTCACCAGTCGCTGAACAAGTGGGAAAATTAACACAATCAGCGACTGATAAAATGATGATTCAAGACAATACAGTTTAATGAATACTTTTACTGGAAATGCTCTAGCAAAAACTATAAATATCCGGGAAATATATCTTTTAGGAAATAAGCTTGTTAATGCCTAGATATTCTTACTTGTCTATTCTGTATAGTATCTGATGTATGTTTACGGTGCATTAATCAGTGTCACATTTAATACAGACGTAATTTTGCCCCATCATATCAGTATGAAAATGCAGAACCCGTATCGGCCAATTATTACCCAGTTAACACTCGAATTTCCATAAAGGACGATACAAAGCAGTTAACAATTCTAACCGATCGTTCTGAAGGTGGCACAAGCTTACGGGACGGTGAAATAGAAATTATGGTAAACTTTCCTAGTCACTTTTTTCAGTGGTACAGTCTACCAAAAAATGTCCAGAAGTTTTCTGAAATCTTTTCTTTGTGAACAGTTACACCGGAGAACACTCTACGATGATGGTTACGGCGTTGGTGAAGCCTTGGACGAACCAGGGACGACGCCTGGAGGTTTGGTGGCTAAAGGAAAGCACTGGTTTATTATGTCTGCACCATCGGAAGCAGCATTTTTACACCGACCACTTGCATACGAACTCCTGTATCAACCCATCCTTACTTTTTCTTCTAGTAATGTGGAAAATACAAATATTCTTGCAGAGGTATTTTTAAACAGTGTAAAAAATACAAGCTTAAAAGAAATCAACTTAAATCAGTTGTTTTTTTCTAGTTCTCCGGTCTAGCAAAGATGCTGCCACCACAAATACACCTCCTTACGCTAGAAAAATGGAAAAATGGAGACTTACTTCTGCGACTTGAACACATATATCAAAAAGATGAACACCCGGAACTCTCAAAACCAGCCACCGTCAACCTACAGGTATTAAAACTGGCCTCATTGATACAAAACTTGCAAAAGAAATTACACGAGAATGTCCACCTTAAAATTTGTCATTTAGAACCTGTTCTCAACATTCAACATCACAAGTGCCAGTGAACTGACTCTAGGGGCCAATATCAATAGCGACAAGAACGAAGAGGAGAGTAACCAAAACCGTTCTACCAGATTCCTCAGCAATAAACAAACAAGTAATACTACTTCATTCATCTAAAAACTCCACCTTAGCAAAGGTGTGACCTACGCTCTAACTTCGGCTCCATCAAAAGCAATATATACTAGAAAAAGTTTGTCCTCTAAGTAACAGTTCAAGAACTGAATTAGCAAATAAGAATCTCCTATTTATCCAGCAATGCAAAGGATACTTCATTTTTTAGATTCATATAAACGTATAATAAGCCAATTGCAAGCTGCTTTTATAAAAATTCGTTAGCCTTACTTGCTCCTTTCTAGGTAATCTAACTATCGAACTGAAACCTATGGAGATAAGGACGTTCCAAATATCAGTAAAGAGAAAGTAAAGGTGCTGGTACCCGACCAAGAATAAATATGACCCATCAAGTCGTTAACCAGAAGAACATCCGACCCTTTGAGTTCCCCAATATTAACTAATAATTTCACAAATTTTTTTGAGTCCTCTAAATATACATCTTCTGTAAATTGTGATCAACGTTTAGTCCGATTTTATTTATTGACAGCCATGTCTGGCACAATATTAATAAATTAACAAAGGATGCCGTCAAAGTTTGAGATCATTCGTAATCGCAAAATGTTGCAAAATGCGATCTTTACAAGACTGATAATGATGGAAAGGGCGTTTGTTTACTAATCACAAGTTTCTTGTACTGATGACTAATATAACCTTTTATTTTCTTCTGAAATGATACATTTAGACGTAAATGGATAGCGATTTGGAAAACAGTTTATTTAAAAATAAACTTTACAAGTGTAATAGAAAATCTGCTAAATCCCCAATTAAGCTGCAAACAATCCAATGAAGTAGACATAAGAAAAGTAAGTTTAATAGAGATTACCTGTGCAATTAAGTTGGCAAGAATACACTCAAGCTCGTCGTCGTCAATATCACATAAGCCCATCCAACGTAAAGGAATCATGAAAGCATCCAAAGGAATCTGAATTTTCCCAACAATGTTTGCTCTAAAAATCCACAAAGAAGCTCCAGCAAATAAAGTTTACTAAATTGCTCAATGTAAAAAAAAAAATCATTGTCTATTAATTAAAAAAGGCTTACACTTTCTTAAACAGGTTTCTGAATGTAATAATCTTTAACTTTTCAAGCATAAGAAATATCCCACATTCAACAAAAAAGTGCTCGTTCTCTTGCAGCGCCTCATCTAAACGTTTCAGGTTACCATCCCTAAAAAAAAATTTCCCTCTCAGAACTGAGAATAACTGAAAAATAATTCTCCAAGAAAAAAGTGACACGCAAATGAAAAAAAGGCAACAAAATAGGCAAATGTTACTAACTTAACACTTTCCACTACGACACTGAACTGCTCCAGCTGGTATTTTTTCAAAAGATCACTGCTTGGCATATGTCCCAGGAACATTTTTACTGGTATAAGGTACATTAAGATCAATCGCTTATTTCGAGTACAGTCAGGCAAGCAGTTTCGAAACGCATAAGAAAGTGATTTCTCCGCTTTAAATCAAGACTTTATAAAAAAAACTATTTGGTATTATCACAATAAGCAATAAAATTTAAAAAAAAAAAAAGAATTTCGTAGGAGTTGGCAAACGTTACGCTAGTCTGTGCCGCAAACTTACCTAATACGAGGTCAGAGTCAAACATTGCTTTACGGCCAAGGTAATAATTGTAAGTAACTTTATCGGCCATTGAAAACTGACTGTATAGCGAACCACAATTTTCAATTGCACGTATCAAGGGGATTAATAAATTTAGCTTATTTATCTGAAAGTAAATTTTCATGCATTTTACAAACGCAAGAAACTGCAACACAGCAAAATGCAAGAATGCTTTGTGCAAACAAACTTAACCCACCCAAAAAGTTAATATAGTAATTTAAAATCCAAATATTACCTGCATTAACAATATATTCACATACAAATGTTCCACATACAAATATTACCCGTTATTAATAACAAAAGTTTCAAAAAAATTGCATATTGAAGCAGAAAAAATTCTAGAGAAGGAGGTTGAACTCATAAAAACGAATTATTGTAACGTCATTAAAGAAGAGTAAAGTAAAAAGAAAATTTTCACTTGAAGGGGCAGGAAAATTTGTAAAGCTCATAAAATAACTCTGAGTGCACAGAATATTCTGATAGATAACTGATAAAGAGTTAGATCTCCATTGCCATTAATGAACAGAAGGCTAGAAAGCCAAAAAACAAAAATATTTCAACAGCTCTAATGTAGTTTTTTGGCGTATTATCATAGCATTTTCTAGGCTCAACAAAACTGCCATGGCTTCTGGCGTGAAAAGCAGTGACCAGGATTTTTTCTGAATACAACAATCACAAAAATATCTAAAAGGATTTAAATAACACAGTAGGTTAGACTTATGAGTAAACTGCAATCCACGTTACAGAGAAACTAGTAATTATTAAGAAGTGCAGCAACAGAAACTTCACCTGCTCACCACCAGTACTTAAAAAGCCGGTTTAGAACCTTTAAAAACATTTCCATCCAGGATATACAGTTCGAGTCATGCATAAAAAATATCATACATGCCGAATTACCCTCTAAAAACCTAGCTATTGAAAACAACCATCCTCACAGCGAGTTAACTTGAATACTGCCAAGACAATTGAAATCTGAAGCATGGTAAACGTGTAGCAACTATTTATGACTTCATTTACTTCTCAAACTGAAAAAATATTATTTTTCAACAGAAGCTGCAGCACACTAAAAGAATTTTGGTGATATACCTCAAAATTATTGAAACACCAAATTATGCAGAGCAAAAAAGCCACTGAAAAATAAATCTGTACGAGTTCACCAAGAAACCAAGCAAATACTAAGACAATCGAACAGTCATTAAAAGAGAGACTGATGCAGATAAGCCATCAAATGATGCACAGTAAGAGCACCGTCAAATGAGGAATGCTCCTACGGGAACTTCATAAATTCTGCATAAAGAACAGTGCAGAGCTCAAGAAAAAAGAAGTTTAAAAAACAAACCCTGAAATAGATCCGAAAAAGCTGGTTGGTTAAGTTTAACATGGCAACCTTTTTTGACGTTTCGATAGATGCGCGACTAAAAAAAGTTTATTTAAAAAAGTGAATTGAAAAAAACAATCAAAAATTTATTATTTCCAAAGTTAATTTTAAGCACAAATGAGAGTTGAAAAGTGTGAAAAAAGCAATAAAAAAGTTCTAGCATTCCTGAAGAAAACTAACAAAATTCTGATACGACCTAAATGTGGCGTAAAAGGCTTATAAACCAAGAACTAACACGTCAGTGACACACGCTCTGTAACATTCCATCATACACGTCGCAGACTGTTCATAATAACTGCTTTTTTCGGGATCTCTCATTCCTGAAGGTTTCAAATCTGCCTGGAAAAAAACAGAAAGGCACATCACTAGTCAAAAAGCTAGGTAGAAGAAAACTGGTTCTAACACTTTAAAACAGAAATAGAAAGTGCGAAACCTACTGCTCGTGCTATCAGTCGCAATTCCGTACATAAAAGGTAAAAAATAGGCATAAACCAGTTCATGTCCTTCTCCTTTTGCAATATTTCTTTGTTGAAAATTTGAACCATCTCAATAAACAAACAAAATAATGAAATCAGAAAAAAAATTACTAGATTAGGTAAGAACAATAAGAAGAAAGTTATCCATCAAGCTTAAAAAGCAACAACGTGCAAGGCACATATTAAACGCTATTCTAGTACCAATGATCATGTAATGATATTTAAAACATTAAAAAATACACCGCAAAACTAAAAAGCGCTATCAAAACACTCTACGCCGCAAACTGTAAACAGTATTTTAAATAGTATCGAAATGTTGAAATTTAACAAAAGAGTAACTCGAAATTCAGAAACATTCTAATTGGGCGGTTACCTGCGCATGCGTGCCAAAAGCTGTTTCATACTTCTGTCGACTTATGTGGTAAATGACCGTTAGATGTAAGCAAGCAATGTCATCAAAAACTGTTCTAATCTTTACACGGCGTTCATTTTCTGCCTTCTCCTTCTAAAAAAACTACAATGAACGAGAAAATAAGATTACAAGACCACAGCATCAGCTTCTACTCTGACCTTCCCAAAACTTCTCAAAAAGAATGCAACCACAACAAGCAGAACAAGCAGAACACACAATACGTACAGCCACAAACCAACCTGTAGAAAATCATAGTGCGCATGTTCATCACGAATTGACAGCAGTTTTGCTGCTTGTTCAGCAGCCTCCCAAGTTTCTTGCGAGAGGATGTCATCAAGTTCGCTAAAATAGCTGTTCAAGTTATTTATTATCGTCATTGTTCATTATAACCTGCAATGCAGATCATATTCCAAACACTGTAGGATATATTCACAAGTTCGTTGTTCGCTTGCCAGAATTCTTTGAATTATTCCCTTTGCACTCTATAGTGCCATCCCCCCAAAACCTCGAAAGTAAACTGCTGGAGCTGCCAACCTAATACGTATTAATTTTATCTGGTAAAGTAAACAAATGGACAAAAATGAGAGATAAAGCGACTTCCTCACTGAAGAACAAATAATTTTATTCCCTCCCCATCCATCAGCCCTCCCAGTAATTCCACTAAATATGGAACAAGTCCAAAATGAAGTCTTGTTCACCCCAAACGATTGGAACCAAACAGATTTTTTAAAACCAAGTCGCCTTGAAATCTCACAAAACATGAAACTGCCCCCGCTTTCTGTTACAATGTTTACAAGACCGCAAAGTAATTGACTTCTGATAGTTTTATTTGCGAAGTGGTCCTAGCTACATAGCTTCTTTGTCATTTTTTCCCGCGTCTTTCTTCTAAGTTCCTTCCAAATCAGTTTCCATGAAATTCATTATTTTTTTTATTTCCTAGGTTAAACTATAGCAAGGAAGGGTACTGAATTGGGAACTATGGTGGTTGTTCTATGTAACGTTGAATCAGAAACGTTGAATCAGAAATACATTTCCACAATAGCAAAACCTACAAAAAAGGCAAGATACCCTGGTACACCATTAACTTTGCAAGAAATTTTATTCATATAATTATTATGACACTGGTTGGATAAAAAACAGCATAACAAAGAATTTACAGCAGTGAGAAACAATCTTATTAATTAAGGACCAGTATCAAACATGTCAACTTCAAAAAAAGTTAGGCAACTTATTCAAACAAATCACAACAAAACAAAAAATAAAAGCAGAGATAAAGTTCTAGACAACGTCTAGTACACCAAAACACGACAGAAGAAAAGTACGAAGAAATGTAACTTAGATAAACAACATGTGACGATTACAGCACCCTGAACCGTCCTTATTGTCTTATGCAGTGATGTTTTAATAGGCACAAAACTCAGAAGCTCTGATCTTTTTAGTTCCAAAAAATTATCCCCGTGAATTCAGTTCCAACAGAATAATTAAAAAAACAACCGCGTGCTAGCATACCAACTTCCCAGCCAACCTCCAATCTTATTTTTAGCCCGAAAAACAGCTGCGAAATGAATGCTCAACAAAACGAGAAAACAATGATGAAGGAATCAGCAAAGATGATAATAAGAGCAATAATAATGAGAACAATAATAATAAAGATTAAGCTGCGTATAAGATACCCGCAATTGACTGTTGTAAGAATATGATTAAAAATCATAAAATGTTACACTTCCAACCTGAAAAGAAGGAAGTCTTCTTCATTGGCTGCTGCATACTAATACGCCCAGTACTCTGAGCTGTGTTCTGATGAGTAGCTCGCTCAGTTCGCAACTTTATATCTCTCGCAAGAGTAAAAAATGCTTCTTCAACATTAATGTTAGCCTTTGCAGAAGTTTCAAAAAACTTAGTTCCGTATTCGACCGCGAGCTGTTTGCCTCGCTCTCGAGAAACCTTAAAAGAAGTATTCAATTTCAACTAGAAAAAGAGAAAAAAAAATGCTTAAAAAATACGAAGCGACAAAACATATATATGTATCTACTCTCCCATAAGTCAAGATATAGTCATACGACTAGAGCTTTAACAACAGAAAACCATGCTTTAAATAAAGTCCAGGTAGCTAATGCTCTAACCAGTGCTTCAACCTTATCGAAAATAGTAGTTAAATTAATAGGGAAAACAAACACAAACACGCACACGCACATACACACATACCCATGAATTCAAACACAAAAAACTCCTTAATGGAAAAAAAAAATATATATATAGAGCTCACTAAAGAATTGAGCTGTTGAACCAATAGACTATAGAGATTTTTTTACAAGGAATTGTAGTAATACTCACTTCCAACTGCAGTTACATAATACAAGAGTAAAAAATGCCAATGTGATTTTTTTTCACAATCCCAACGCTCGGTTCTCTTGGAGCAAGACTAAAATATCTCAAAAAATTACAGTGCAAGTGTAACACAAAATTAATTCTCAAATAACCTTAGGAATCTTACATTTTCCCCCCTCACCGCTTCCCTAGACCAAACAATTTAAAAATTCCTCACTATTTCTATCACTATTCAAAACCTAGAAAGGAGTGCACATTTTGCTCGAAATTTTTCTCCCCAATGTTTCTTTCAAGCGCTACAAATACAAAGTAAATTGAGCTTATTATATTTCATATCTTGAAACTGTATCGAAATACAATAAAAACAACATAACGACTCCAAAAAATCTACTATAATTTCTAAAGATCAGAAGTGATTCAGTAAAATCACAGCCAAAGCAAGCGCTTCAAAGGTGAGTCACTCAAATCGTAAACATTAAGACTTCTTTTAACTACAGAAGTACACTTGCAACGCCACAGGAAATTTGAAATTTCACATCAGATTGATAGACAAAATACATGCCCAGTTGAGCGGCGACCTCCTGTTTTCAAAATGATACCCAAAATCCGTTTCTGAACCTACTAAAACAAAGATTTTGCAACTGATAACTCAAAAAAAGTATTTTCTAACCACAGATGTCAAAAAATTCCGACGCAAAAAGCAGTTTATCGGTCTTCCAGGTAGAAAACTGCAGTCTAACGAAGCCCTGGTAAGAAGTTTGGTCTAAAACTGACCTGCCGTCTGTTTTCAATATCACATTTGTTCCCAATAATCATACGGTCTACATCAGATGAAGCATGTTCTTCTATGTTTCTAATCCAGTTTTTGATATTCTCAAACGACCTTTCATTGGTAATATCATATACAAGCATTATCCCCATTGCGCCCCGATAATAAGCTGTAGTGATCGTGCGGAACCTGAAAACCAACAATTCAGCTAGACCATTTTGGTAATCAAACAAAATGCTACAGAATTAGAAAAAATAGCTTCAAGAACTAATAATGTGTAGAAAATAGAAGTTGCAAACCTTTCCTGCCCAGCAGTATCCCATATCTGTAACTTGACCTTCTTCCCATCTAAATCAATAGTTCGAATTTTAAAGTCAATGCCAATAGTTGATATAAATGAGTTGTTGAAAGAATCATCAGAAAAACGAAACAACACACAGGTTTTTCCAACTCCAGAATCTCCAATCAATAATAATTTAAACAGATAATCATAAGTTTTAGCCATTAAATTTTCCTACCCTACTCGAAAAGTCGAAAAAGCCAGAATGCTGCTGAAACTGAATCACTAAAATTGGGAGCGGAATCACAACATTACGAAAGTTTAATCACGCAGATCAGTAACAGCAAAAAAGAAGTAAGATATCACTAAAGGTGCAAAAAAATAAATAAATAAAATAAAATTTTCAACAAATGTATAAAACAACAACCATTTTGTTTTGAACAACAACAAAAAGTCTAAAACTTTCACAGCTGCTGAGTACGCACAATAAAACCTCCGTACAACTTTTGAAAAGAAGTTTCTTTTCTTAATCTTTCAACTGATACATGCCCCAAAAAAATATGTTGTGAAAAAACCAGAAAGGTCCAAAGAGAGGCTTCAAACGCGACCCATATCAATGACAAAAGTAACATACGCAAAAAACACCTACAAAATGAACAATAAAATTTTTGACAAATTTTAAGTAGCTCCTTAAGATTTCATGAGCATGAAAATCAGATGAAGTGGAGCAAAACTAACAACTTCTTTCCCACTCTAAATCTCACGAGTAATGGTGTAGCAAATCCACTAGTTTTGGTAATTTAATAATTTAATAAATTCTTTTTAAAACCAAAAAGAGTTGAGGAATCTAAGTTATTTAGAGATCAACTAAATTATAAACGTCATGAAATAGTGCACACAACATTATTTGCAAAGCAACACAAAACTCCAAAACATAAATATATTTACATATCATAAAAACAACATTTAAAAAGTTCCTTCTTTCGTTGAGGTCGCAAAAGCACCAAGGTGACTGCTTACAAATCTTTTAATCGCTGAATGCGACTGTCGTAATAGTAGTGAATACGTTTTTGTTTACCAGACAGTCCAAAATGTATAAATATTTTGGTATGAAACATGTTAACGCTGTGCTAAGTTTGGCTTACTGTACATTATTCGAAGATTTCATAATTTTCTGAAGAAAATGAAATACAGTTAACCAAATAAATGATCAAGTGAACGGCGCTATTAACTGAAAAAGACAATTAAGGATCCATTTTGCTCTTCACTCCTCTCCGTTTTCACAAAAACACTATTAAGTTAAATAAAAATAGATGCAAAAAAACAAAAATAACATCAACAACAAAGAGAACGAGAAAAACCAATGAAATTAAATACGTAAATAGCACACAAAGTCGAAATGTCGGCATTCAAACGAGCGAAAGAATCAGGCTAGCGAACTACAATGAACTTACTACTATACGATCTTGTAGAGCCACTGCAAAAAATGTGTGAATACTTAGTGAAGAACATTTGGTCGTTTGAAACAAGTATTTTTTTGTACACAGAACTGCTATTCGATTGGCTGCCTAATATAAACAAAGAACATTAAGTTAATACACACAGATCTGTAAGAGTGTATATGGAAGAAAAAAAAAACTGTCAGCTAAACGAAAAAAAAAATCATCCGAAAAACAGGAGAAAAAGGACAAAACTATGCAAAGCAAGAAATTGATGCATAAATACTGGTGCAAAAAAAATGTTTTTTCGCCCCTCCTTTTCCTTCCTTATTCTTTTTTTTTTTTGACTCCTCCAAGTCAAGAATAGAGCTATATAGTCGCATTTATTTCATCACAGATTAGCTGCTGAGGACATGGCATAAAAGAAAGAAAGATAAAGTAAAAACGAAACGGAATAAAATAAAGAGACGAAAAAAAAAAAAGAAAAAAAAATGAGCAACACTAAACAAAATATTAACAATATTGCTGAAAATTTTTGCGCTGCAATTTTCCTCGTTTTTTCCTCGTTTTATTTGTCAGGAAATGCGGGAAATTCAAAGTTTATGATTTTTAAAAGGGCATTAATTCACAGTATATGACTTTGATGTTCTATTGTTTGTATGGTCAGTAAGTAATCTCCGACATGTACAGATGTGCATAACTAACTGACCGTTGTGACTAATCATCACTATTTTTTGATTTCATTTCTGCTTCAAAGATTCAATCACTAGCTGGATATCTTTTCAAAACAGATGGTATAATGTGTGGGATGTGTACTGCATTTTTTTTTTTTTTTTTGCATCCGTTTCCGTTCTTCTGAATACGTTATTGCCGCTGTTAATAACACTATTATCAACTAAACTTATCCAACTGCTTAGACGGACACTTGAACGATTCAATATATGTATCAAAGAAAGAAAAAAAGATGGAAATAAAAACTTTTGGCATTAAAATTGATCGAAACAGTCTGAAACAAATCTGTTCTAATTGGTTTTATCAACTTTAGCAGCAATCCGATTACGACAAATGATTATTTTTGCACTAGCCTATTGCTATGCATACTCCTAGTCAGAATTTTTGGATATATTACCGAGATAAATTACACGCACTAAAATTTCATCGACAAGATTCCACAACGAATTACGCTTAGGTAATGCTCAACCTGCCACTTTTTTTTTTTTTTGCATTTAGTTCATTTTCTGCTTTTTTCTACCACTCCAATAAGTCCATTATTGATAAACTTTGGGCTGTCAGTATCAAAAGATCATTCAGATTTATTTTTACGACAGTATTGCTCACTGTCACTTAAACATCGTATACACTTGGAAACTGCCATGCAAAAGTGGATTATACAACCAGCATT